TATTTTAGTATTTTGTATATTATCAAAACATTGGTATTTTATTAAAATCTGAGATGAAATTGTCATAGTCATCTACATGTCCTCAAATGTTGTTACACCTGCAAAAGGACCAGGAACTAGGATTAAGGATCCCTTGTATGTCTGGCTTTCCACAGAGAATGAATAAGGAAGAAAATCTTGATTAAAAGAGGTGAGGAGGGGTCAGACTTGTGAGAATGAATTTGACCTTTGAGGGAAAGAAAGAGAGGTAAGAGGAGGAAAAGTAACCATGAAGGAAGAGAAGCATTTGGGTTTCAGGGGTCCTGGAAACCTGCCTCCATCTTTTTTCTTTTTCACCTCAAATTTCACTACTATCTTCTCTTTTGCTTTTTTTTTTTTTTTTTTTTTTTTTTTTTTTTAAAGTTTTTGGCTGCATTGGGTCTTCAGTGCTGCACATGGGCTTTCTCTAGTTGCGGCCAGCGGGGGCTACTCTTTGTTGCGGTGTATGGGCTCGTCATTGCAGTGTCTTCTCTTTTGCGGAGCACAGGCTCTAGGCGCACAGGCTTCAGCAGTTGCAGAAAGCAGGCTCAGTAATTCTGGTGCGCGAGCTCTTGCAGGTTCAGTAGTTGTGGTGCACAGGCTTAGTTGCTCCACAGCATGTGGGACCTTCCCGGGCCAGGGATTGAACCCGTGACCCCTGCATTGGCAGGCGAATTCTTAACCACTGTGGCACCAGGAAGTCCCTATCTTCTCTTTCTGTTTCCATAAAGTTTCTCTACCCCAATTCTAAGAAGACTATGGAAGACCTTTGGAATTAGACGAAGGCCCAAATTGGTTCTAAGGGATATACAAATGACTAAGAAATAAGAGAAAAGATGTTCAGAGTTACTAATAACTTGAGAATTGGTCATTAAAATGAGATACCTTAGAAGACTTTGTAAAACAGGCAGAGGGATAAGAATGGTAAGAATATTTTTAAAGTAGTGCATTTTTGTTCATTTAGAAATTGTCACATACCATGTAACTCTTTGGGTATGATTTGGGATGTAAATGACTCTGACGAGATTTTTTTTAAAGTACTAAAATGATACTATACTGATAAGCGTAATATGGCATTTCAGTACTTTAAAAATGTATCTTGTGAACTAATCAATCATCCTTTAAAATTTCATTTCCCATCACAGAAACCTCTCCCTTCCCCTCCCACCCAACCTCAAGAAAGTGATCAAACCCTCCTCTGTATCCATGATATAAAACATATTTTCTCACTAGGATTGCATTTGTTTACATGTTTGTTTCCACCACAAGACTGCAACTTGAGAGTAAAGACTTTATTCTTTATTCAATCAGTGAAAATTTACTGAGTGTGTACTATGCATGCATTTTAGAAAAGGAGTATACAGAGATGAGTAAGACAATGTCTCTGTTCCCAAGGAATTTACAGTTTATGGGAGGGACAGGGCAATTACAAGATAGGATAACAGAGACACACCGAAGAAGAGAGGAAGGGTATAAAACCCAAACTGGGAGGTCAGGAAAGCTTCCAGGAAACTATAATATTGAAGCTGTGTTTGGAGGGAGAGAAAATATTGCATTTATTTTATTTGATGATCATACAAAGAACTTCAGACCCAAAGTTCTCTAAGTACAACTGCTAGCCACAGAGCCACAGCCAGGCATTGTAAACTGGAAGGTTCAGACCAAATGCATCATTTCTGAGTCTGGGTATTTGGTGGAGCCAACACATCTTAGTTTGTTTTTTCTTTTCAGCTGGAAGTCATTATTTATAAAGCACTCATAGGAATATACTCATCACTGATTCTGAAGGCAGGGTTTATCTGCATGTTCTTAAATTGTCACCCAAAGAGCCTGAAGACCATACTCCAACATTCCCACCATGAGTCATACTCTTTTCAGCTGTAATCATTTTCAGGACAATGATCAAATACAAAGTGGTTTCAGTAAGGATATGCTAATATGGGGTTGGTGCCAAGACAATAGTATTTGTCTTAATTTTGAGTTGTGGTAAAATATACATAAAATATACTTCCTTTATCATTTTTAAATGTATAGTTCAGTACTGTTAAGCTCATTCACACTGTTGTGCAACCAACCTCCAGAATTATTTTCATCTTGCAAAACTGAAACTCTAATTATAAGCAACAACTCCCCATTCCCCTTTCCCTAAATCCCTGCAATCTAGATATCAGGAAGCAATCAAGACAGACTAACTATGGTTTCCATTTCTCCAGGGAGTAATTTGTATCTTGAAGTGAAACCTAATCCATAGGAAATTTGCAGCTAAATAGGAAACCTGTAGGAATTTCCTTGGAATAACCTTCAGTAAATGCTTCACCTCTCTAGGGCAGGTTTTCTTTAGCAGTCAAAACAAAGGGAGTGATTAAATGGTATCTAAGGTCCCTTTGGTTTTGACTTTCTATAATATTAGCATACTATTAAGGTTGTTCATCTCATCCTTGCTCAAAATTGGGCAGAACCCACTTAAATCAAGATCTGATATTAACATAATTGTTTCAAGTGTATTCTTTCTAAAAAAAATTTCAATGCATACTATTAAACAATTTTCAGCTATAATGGCTTCCACAAGCATTTCATAGCTTCTTCCGAAATCTGACTACAGAACACCCTGCATTTCAATTGATCTAATTCAACACCAAAGCTGAATATCATAAATGATATCCATTCAAAATTGAAATACATCTTTAATATTTTACATCATAGAACAGTAGTGCTGAAAGGAACACTGAGGTGGTTTAATCCAATGCACTCACATTAGAATAAAGAAACAGGTCCAGAGGGGTTCACTGATTTGCCTATGGTCACATAGCTAGACAGAAACAAAGTAAGGACTAAAAGCTGTTTAAAAGCCAGATTTCTTTACTTCCTGTCCAGTGTTTCTACTCCATATTTGCAAATTTACTGCTGCCCAGTCTTATATAACTTGATAATCTGTCTGGGTAACTGTTTCAAATTAATTAGTGCCAAAAGGGAATTACCTAGTCACAGCATTCACTGACTAGGGCAAAATGTAATGAACCATTGAAAACAGTCATTCATTTACTTATCTTGGTTGTTTTGACTAATCTAATGGGTGACAGCATTAATGAAGGATAATGTATGGAATCCTGGAAGAATGTATCTCAGTCCAGAAATACCTAAGTAAATTGGCCTATCAAATTCACTGTCATTAGGACAATAAGAAATTTAACTATAATTTCAAAATGGTATGTCCTAATATTACAATTCTAGTTTAGTGTTTCAAATTCACCTCTCCTTAGTTGTTAACCAGAAACTCAGAATTTAGATTGTAAAAGTTTATTGATATGATCAAAAACCAAACAGCCAGACATTTGGTTATCTTTGCCACTACAATGTGTCATTTTAAATAGTATTTTTAAATGCATAACAAATAATATTTAAACCATTACTAGAAAAGTTAATTAAGAGTCTACTTAAGGCACTTCAGATGAAAGCTAATTTCAACATTTCCACAAAAGTAACACTATTCTAAGTGTAGTAAATCTGCTTTCTACAGATTTTAGCCATAATGCAACTTCTCTCCTTAAAGAAGAAGAATGTGCTCTTAAGAGACAAAACAAATACAAAAAAATTGTCATTCTTTCAATGTTCATTGCAAATTATCTGGAGCTATACATTTTACATGGCAGTAATATTCCCCTGGTTAGTATGTACAGATCAGGGTATATTCATACAAGTCTCATAAGAATCACAGCATAAATTTACTTGGCCTGAGACAAGTACAAGAACAGCAGATAAGGAATCCAGAATCATACAATTTACAGTGGAGTAACAAAAACAGGCTCCACTAGAGAGTAAATATCCCCTCACCCACCAAATATACTAACAAAAACAAAAACAAAACCCCCACATACAACATTTCTTCTTAGGCAATTATATCCATCTCTTTCTTCAAACCTCTATTATATAAGACTTCCAGATCACGTGGGAGAGTTATTAGATGGTAAATAGTAGCAGGCAGTCACAGTATTATTTTAATGTAATAATACTTCTAAGATTTATTAAACTTTTTTTTCATTATCAGAATTCGCATATTTCCATTAATAGTGGCATTTCTGGATACTCTTTATAACTATGGGGGAGATTATAGCTAGATGTAATGATAACCATCAACTTTCATTCTTCACAGAAATTTGGTTAGCACATACGGTTATTTTCACTGGCAGAAAAAAAGATAAAACTCAAAACTTCTTCAAATGATTACTTTGTTCTCCACTTAAAGTGAGAAAATGAAGGCTAAAATAATAGCAAAAACCAGAACAGCTTTCAAGAAACATTTACTTTCTATTCACAGGCAACAGCTTAATATTTCATGATTTTATTTTCCCAATCTAGGGGAGTCCTTTTCCTAAACACAAGAGTTAATGAAATATGTTGCAACTGTAATACAGATATCAACTTAACCAGATGAACCTAGCTTTTTCTCTTAGGTACAAATGAAATAAGTGATGAGCTCTAATTTGCAGAAACGTTTTAGACCATTTAAAATTTACACTGATTTTAGCACTAAGCTACATTTTTATTAGAAAGGGGCCCACCTTAAATAAAAGAAAACTAGGGAGACAGAATGAGCCTGAAATCTTTCCAAATACAGGTAGTTAATACCACACTCATGCAGAAATCATAATCCTGCATTTAGAGATACTTCTTAATGTCCACAGCTACCAAGAAGCATAGTTTGCACTGCATTTCAGGAGGAAAGATGGAGGAGGACTGGTTAGTCTTTTTTTCTAAAGTCTAGACATGTAATCTGAAGAATGGTGTTCCATTTTCAGAAGACACATAGCACATATGATTTCTCTGCCCAAAAGGAAAGATGTGCAAAGTATACACATCCATGCAAAGATGGAAAAGTTAAGAATGGATTCTTGATGTTGTTATCAGAACTGCCCCCCACACCTTTGGATAAGATAATAAAAAATCAGATGGTCAAAAGTTAACTAAAGCAGTTTTGAACCTTGTTGTAACTAAAATGAATTAGTAGCTTTAAAATTTAAAAAAAAATATTTAATTCCACTAAATTAAATATTCCACAAAGTTTACTGGGAAGGGAAGGTTAAGAGGAGAATCATATCCAAATACTTCATGATTTTGATGGAAAATTGCTTCTTAAGGCACTATACATCTTCTTTGGTTAAATGATTAACTATTTTAATCACTTGAAAAAAAGAGGTAATACAAAATACACAAATTGCATTCTTCTTTTCACACACACGTTTTTCATTTTTCAATTTCCATTACTCCAGTGTCTACATATCTCTGGAATCCTTTTTAACTCATCAGAAAGCTGAAATAAAAATATATACCAATCTATTAGTCTCTGAAAGAAAAGTAGTCTTTACTTCTAATAAATATCTTGATTTTTTTCAGATCAAAGAACGTTTGGGTACATGTATAATAAACTTTGAGTATCAATCACAAAAAGCGAGAAACACTGAGGTATTGAGGTAGTCTTAAGAGAAAAGGAAATAGAAATAACTTCGAGTTAAAATATCTCCTGGAGGGCTTCCCTGGTGGCGCAGTGCTTGAGAGTCCGCCTGCCGATGCGGGAGACGCGGGTTCGTGCCCCGTTTCGGGAGGATCCCACGTGCCGCGGAGCGGCTGGGCCCGTGAGCCATGGCCGCTGAGCCTGCGCGTCCGGAGCCTGTGCTCCGCAAATGGGAGGGGCCACGACAGTGAGAGGCCCGCATAACGCAAGAAAAAAAAAAAAAAAATCTCCTGGAGACACCAATTAATAACTGAATCAACCACGGTGATCAAATACGTAACAGAAGTCCCAGCTTCTGGGGAGCAGAAGATTACCCTTGTATCTCAGCTAGTATTCTATAGGGGATAAATTATTTTAAAATGTACATACACAGAAGAATAAAAGTATAAAGCTAGAGGTTATAAGTCAAGGATCAAAGTTCTAGTAGGTTTTGGTCTTAAAATTAAATAAGTTTGCAGAAAATGCAAAAGAAGATTAAGTTGTTCACTAATCAAAATGCATTTAGGAATGTGACAATATAATGAACTGATCAGGGAGTGTTTCAAAATTACCTACTAAAAACTTGTGTTAAAAATACAAAGAATGAATGTGTCTCAAAAATATCACTTGATATACTTTAACTTTAGTGTTCATAGTCGGTTATACAACAGGACAATGTTGTATTAAAAGAATAGGAATTATAGTAAATGGCACTCAGATTATAAAACTAACTTACAACATTCCCCATTGTGTACTGGTACATTTATTTTGGGTACTAACAGAATAAAACCAAGAACTTATAACCAGGAGAATAATGTCTTCCCTGAGCCTTAGAGATCCCTATGAACATTACAAGCCAATTAGACCTTCTTAAACACT